TTTATCCATTTGCCAATACTGTAGATTTATAATCTTAAAATAAGGAGTGTGATTCTTTCAAATTCTTTTTTGTCAAAAATATTTTTAGCTACTCCATTTCCTTTGCCTTTCATATTAATTTTATAATCAGCTTACCTGTATCTACAAAAAAATCCTGCTGGGATCTTGATTTGAATTGCATTAAATTTATACATCAATTTGTGGGGAATTGCCTTTTTATATTGAAACTTTTTTAATGTATGGGTATGTTATGTCTCTCCATTTTTTTAGGTTGTCTTTGATTTCTCTCATTGGAGTTTTATAGTTTTCAGCATGTAGATCTTACACAGGATTTATAAGATTTATACTTAAGTATTTCTTTTGAGGGGAGGAAGCAATTGTAAATGATGTATTTTCTTAAAGTTTGGTTTTCAACAGTACATTGCTTGTATATAGAAATATGATTGATTTTTGCATGTTGACCTTGTATCCTGTGACTTTGCTAAAGGACTTACTCGTTCCAGGAGGTTTTTTGTAGATTCTTTAGATTTTCTTTGTAGACAATCATGACATCTGTGAATAGGGACAGTTTTATTTCTAGAGTCGTCCATAGTATTCCCTTATCTTATTAATGCCTATGGGGTCTGTAGTAATATCCTCTTTTTAATTCCTGATAGTAGTAAATTGTGTGCACATGTTCTCTTTCTCTTTCTGCAAGACTTGCTAGTGGTTTATCATTTTATCTACCTTTTCAAAGAACTAGTTTGATTTCATCAATTTTTCTCTGTAGACTTTTCTGTTTTTAATTTTGATTTCTTGTGCTCACTCTGGCAGCACATATACTAAAAAATTTTATTGATTTCTGTCTTCATTTGCTTCCTTTTGGTTTACTTTGCCTTTTTTAATGTTAAAGTGGAAGCTTAGATTATAGATTTTAGACTTTTTCTTGTTTTCTAAGATGATACTTAATACTGTCAATTTTCCTCTATTTTGCTTTAACTACATACCACAAACTTTTTTTTTATATTGATACCAACTTTAATCATAAAGAAAACAATAAAATTACCCTGTACACATTAACTCCCTTCTCACATTTCAAATTTTTGATGTCATGGTTTACACTTTTAAATATTGCCTATTTCTTTGAGTTATTTTTAACAGCTTTGCCTTTTAGTCTTT